GTATCTGTCTTAACCATGCTGTATATTTCTTATGTTAGGTTGTACTAGTATCTGTCTTAACCATGCTGTATAATTACTAGCAGTTGGCTAATTGAGATTTTGAGTGTAATTTAGAATATAGTATTTGTTAGAACTGAAGTAAGAATTTTTCACCTTTCTGGCTATTTAGGAAAACATACAAATGAGCATTGTGTATGAGTTAAAAACAGTATATAAAATCTCTACATATATAATCTAATTTCTGTAGGAAGAACAGATCAGACATCATTAAGGTCTATTTTTATATATGTGAGAATGCTATTCCCTGATGTCAACTTGTTATGTTAGGGTTGTGTTACTAATTAATATAATGTGATATCCTTTATTTTCTGCAACAGACTAAGGTAATTTCATATGATTGCACTTTTTTTCCCAATAACAACTGTTCTGTCATCTGTGTACTTGACCTGAATGAAGAATTTTTTCTTCTGCAATATTACTCTAAGGAAAAGAGCCGATTAGTTAAAGTTCTAAAGTGTTAAAAGCATTTATTAATCACATAGTTTAGCTTAGTAAATCAGAGAATATTTTTATGCATTTCAAAAGAAAATAATGAGTACTTTAAAGTCAAATGTAAAGTTAATAATGTCCTTGTGTACACTGCCTTGAAACATTGCCTAATGTGTGGTGAAAATGTTATTTAAATTAGTCTCACTTTTACTGTTATTATCTTCTGAGAGTTTGTTGTTTTGTTTTTGTAACTTCAGTAGCCACTTTTTAGTTTAAATGTTCGTGAAATATAAGTATCCCTGGAGTATCACTCATATTCATATGAGATCCACTAATTTTCAGTTGGTAGGTTTATTACTAAATACTTTTCCACTGCATGTTTTGTAGTTTAAAGATAGGTGTAACAAAAGTTTTTCTGGTTTCGTTTAAAAGGTGCTGAAATGTTTTGCTATTGATATTCTGAAACGATACTGTTACGTCTGTGTTCATTTGTTAATTTTTCGTAGAAATTCTTTACAAAAAACTTCAGCGATACAAGTCCTTTCTTAAATAAAACTAGTTTATTCTTTCTCAATACAACTTTGCAATACACTTAATTTCCACAATCACTTACACACGCGCTATAATTCTCAACGAACGATTCATGCACTTTACTTACGGGGGGGGCTTTTCTCAACTCTTGCATGGGGCAGGCTCAATCTTCTTTCTTGTGTATTTGCATAATGGAGATTTTGGTATTCAAGGTGCTTTTCTCTTGTACTTGGGGATTTCTTTAAGTCATACATGTACATGCCCCTTTCAATGGACTCTTGTCAGATCATTGGAACAGGTCCTGCAATCACTTATCTACCCTTGTGTTTTACATCCCTCTATTGTGTTAGGTTGATCATTCCAACACAGTTTGGGGTGTACCACTCTCCCCTTGACCCAACTTGTATCTTTACACCAGTGCTTCTCTCTTTCTGATTATGGCTGTTCTCCACACCACTACCACCACCAGGGTCTGGTCTCCAAGAGCATTCCATGCACATCAACTTTCTGGAGATGACTGCTGGTTCTCAGTCTTGCCGTCTTCTTTGGGTGCAGTTGTTTAGTCATTTTGCGATGATCCACTTGGACAACTTTATGGTTGCTACTTCAGTCAACTGTCTTGGATTCTATGCTTTTATGGGCCTAAGATCATCATATTCAAATTAGGATATGTCATGTTCCAGGGGTTTATATCTGGTGGTGGATCACTTTTCTCACCGAGTTGTTCTTACCTCCTGTGGTCTTCCAGTAGATTTGTTCCCATTTCAGAATCCCTCTTATCAATGCTTTTGCAACTTTTTAGGTATCGGTTAACCTTGGTCATCCCTTTTTCACGATGGAATGTCAGGCCTTTGTCTGCATGTTTGAAATTTACTTGGTCCCTTGCATGATGTATGATTTTTTCTGCAGTGTAGCCTGTTTTCTCTTTCAGTCTTGTCACTCTTGCTCTCTATCAATCCATGTGGGCTGTCTACTGCCACTCTCTTCAGCCAGATCGTCCTACTTCTCCACATCTTTCGTTCTTCTTTGCTTTGTTTGTATTCACCAATGCAGGTTACCATGAGATATTGTCCACAACCTTAAGCCTCTTGTTGGGTAATAATCTCTTTCTTTTGCTCACCCCCATTTGACCAGTCCCTCTCTTTTACTGAGACCTATGTCTAGTTCTTTGAGCTTTTGCATGCCCATCCTTTTAGCTGTTAGTTTCTTGTATCAAGACATATTTTCTCCTTTTCCTTGCATGTGGTTATCATCATTTAGATGTTTACTCCTTAGACACCTTCCATACTTCTATCATAGGGTCTGGTTGATTGTTTCCAGTACACTCCTTTCTTCTGAAGACTTAGTTTGTCCAGAAAGGCAATTGGAAGTTTTCTTCTACCTCTCCTCTATATAATCATTGTACAGTTGTTCCAGTCTTGATCATCGTTTGTGTCTTGTATGGGCTGTCCATTGTTGTATTGCTCAAACTTCTTTTTGTGGTAACTGTGGCAGACCTCTTCCTCTTAGGACTTATCCCCTTCCACTTTATCTGGTTAGGTTTGCTAACTCATTTTTTCACTGTTTATTTTTCCTGGTGATTCTGATGATATGCTTTTTTTTGCCTCCTTCTTCCAATTTCTTCATTCATAGCTTCTAGCATTTCTTGCCTTTCTTCCTTGCCAGCCTTTGGAGGAGATCTTACAAGCTTGTATGTGGACTAAACCAAACACATTTTCCTCCCATTTCTTACATCACTGGACAGTTTTATGTGCCTCTGGCTTTTACCATCCTCCAGTCACCATTCTCCAGTGTACTCAGAGGCTCTAACTCTAGTATGGTGAGTTTTGCCTATTGTGTTTTTAAGTCATCTCCATGTCATTCATACATTTCACTGCTCTTCCATGTGTGTACCATGATTTTTGTACACATTCCAACACCTTCAACAACAACTAAAAAATAAAAGTAGGAGATATGACTTACCAAACCAAATAGTACATGAGGAACTACACCCTATGTTCTTTATGCCTAGTGCCATCAGAAACCACTAAGTGGCCAGTGTTGTCTTACAGGGATTACTTACCCAAAATTTACATCAAATGAGGGAGAACAAAAAATGTTAAACCCGTCCGCCCCTGCTCATTGTTCATGGTTGAGATGTCATTTTTTTGCAAGACTGCTTTGGCAGTATATCTCTATAATTGACATGGCTGTTTCTGCACCTTTTACAAGAAAACAGACAACACCAGATGTTGTCCTGCCCTTACATCTGGCTTGTGATTGCCATCTTTAATTATAAGTTGTAGTGACCCACAACACTGTCACTTGGTGGTGATTGTGGCAGTGATCACATACACACACACTGGAGTTCTCCCCCAGTGCATCCCCCCCCATTTTTCTTGTGGAGGATGGGAGAACCCTTCTTCCACAGTGGCTGGAGTGTTCCCTGGAAGTGTAGTACAGGACACCTCATTAGAATATCTCAGGTGTTCCCTGGAAGTGAGGTACAGGACACCTCATTAGAATATCTTAGGTGTTCCCTGTAAGTGAAGTACAAGACACCTCATGAAAGTATCTTAGGTGTTCCCTGGAAGTGAAGTACAGGACACCTCATTAGAATATCTCAGGTGTTCCCTGGAAGTGAAGTACAGGACACCTCATTAGAATATCTCAGGTGTTCCCTGGAAGTGAAGTACAGGACACCTCATTAGAATATCTCAGGTATTCCCTGTAAGTGAAGTACAGGAAACCTCATTAGAATATCTCAGGTGTTCCCTGTAAGTGAAGTACAGGAAACTTCATTAGAATATCTCAGGTGTTCCCTGGAAGTGAAGTACAGGAAACCTCATCAGAATATCTCCCAAGCAGTTTCTGATAGATATGTCCTGCCAGATGAGACTCGGATTTGCTTTGTCATTACAATGTCTATCTCATGTACGTGTTTCACCTTGATGGAATGGCCTAATGCCATATCCACACTACACATTCTCATATTCCACCCACTTTTGTGACATGTTACCACTGGCACTGGATTTCCCAATATCCTTTATTGGAAATCTCTCTGTGATATAAGTGTAACATTGAATGACTAAATAAGAAGTTTGGTAAAGTGTTACCTGTTTGAGAAGAATGTAGTCTCCCACCTATTGCTGCTCCACTAGACAACCCACGATCTTGTGGACATCACACCCCATGGACTTTCCAGTCATCATTTCAGAAAGGAATTCATCTTTGTAATTGGTCTGTACCATTCCCTACACCATTTTTCTATGTGGGAGTCTAGCCCTAAGTGGTGTATAGAGATAAGAACATTTCTGAAGTTAACATTTTCCTTATCTGAAAATCTGTTTCAAATAGATACTTACCTCTCTGCACCACCTTCCCATTCTTCCTTCCAACTTCTGGTGCATTTTCTTTACCTCCTCAAGAATGAGCTTATGGTAATGTGCTAGTGCTCACTGTGTATGGAGGTTGTGTCATTCTGCTGTTGGTGGAAGGCTATAACATTATGACAATTATGTGGGAGTTTGTTCGAGGCTTGTGGTAAGTGCAGGAATTTCCATGAAGGTTGTGTCGTTCTGCTGTTGGTGGAAGGCTACAACATTATGACAATTATGTGGGAGTTTGTTCGAGGCTTGTGGTAAGTGTAGGAATTTCCATGAAGGTTGTGTCGTTCTGCTGTTGGTGGAAGGCTACAACATTATGACAATTATGTGGGAGTTTGTTCGAGGCTTGTGGTAAGTGCAGGAACTTCCATGGAGTTTGTGTGCAAGGTAATAGTTCTTAGTGGTGCAGAGAGGTAAATATCTATCTGAAATACATTTTCAACTAAGGAAAATGTTAACTTTTGAGAACTTTTTAACATTTGTTTAAGGAGTTAGTTTATTTAAAGGACAAAACTTTGACTCCAATCCAGATTTTAAATATACTCCTTTTTTTTTTAGCTGTTGGAGCTGCCAGAATCCTTCAACAACCTGCAGGCTCTAAAGAGTCTTGATCTGTACAATAACAAACTGATAGCTTTCCCATTGTCTTTGTTGAACCTGACCAGTTTGAACAAATTGGACTTGGAAAAGGTAATTCATCTTGTGATTGAGTTGGGACTATTAAACATTTATGATGTGATACATAAGTTCTAGTTGTGAAAGTTTTAAATTAGCAGTGGTGTTACTGATTTTGAATAACTAGCAGTGTTATGATAAAAAAGCATCTTATAATGGTTTCTGATTGTACAGCATCATTAGTGCACTGTAATTAGTGTTATAAATGAATGTTAGTCTGCAAGATGTGAGAAGTAAAACTTAGTTAAAATATAATGAAGAATAAATTGACACATCTAAATAAAAACGTTTGTAAAATGTTTCGAGCAGATGTCCTTCATCATGCAGTAAAGACTGTTAGAGTGAAATAATGATCACTTATTTGGTTTGTCAAAATAAAAATGGGTAGTGGAGTTCATAGTGTCCAATGCTCATTTAGAAATCATTGTTATGAAACTGAGGGAGCCATGGTTATTGGCAGTCCTATCATATATCACATAAACTCGGTATTTGATCAGTTAAAGCTTAAAATTGATGTGATGGTGTCAAGAGAAGAAGTGTTCCATTAACATGATTACAGCTGGTGTTGTGAATACTGTTTTGTATGTCAACACAATATCAAAAGGTTATATGTTACATATATAATGTTATATATATATATTACCACTTTTCAGTTTTTGTTCAATGAAATCATGTGGATGAATTTTAATTCGAAACTCGTATTGTTTTACGGTGTTGCTGTTGAAATTATTTGTTTCATGATGATTCAAAATAATTCTACTATATACATATCGTGTTTTTGGGAAAACAAAAATTCAACAACGTGTACATTTAGTTATCAATCCTGATACAAATCTATTTAAAAGTCCAGATTGATTTCAATATATGATGTAATTCACTAATTGACTCTCGGTGTTACACAAGGAAAGTACTGTGTACAAACTCAACCATTTTAGCAAGTCATCTCACTAACCTTAATTTGTAATGTCCACTACTTACCTCTCCACTCAAGGTTACTCACAGTAAGATATAACTGGTCATTAGTTGGTTTATTAGGGATGACTAGCATTTAATCTTGAGGTCTCATTTCACTGGTTAGTATACAGGAGAAACTAAGTTTTAGTCATGAACCTCCTGTATCTCAAACACTTAGAATGCCTCTAATATTTGTTTGATTTGTAACTATTTTTTAGTAATGAACTTTCTAACTCTCAGGTTAACATACTTTTTTGTATACTTGTTCGTCGTGTGTTCAGTTTTACAAGTTAAACTGTACGTTTCTTCTGTAAATGTGACAGCGCAAAGATTAATGTTATATTGCCATGTCTCTTTCTTTGTTTTTAGCTAGAGAATTCCTTCGAAATATTTTATTGTTTTAATATATTCTAGATAAATTATTGGTAATTCTGCAACAAAAGTAATGTAAGCTGTACGGTGTGGAACATTTTGATCATAATCCCAAGTGGATTTATATAGTTCACATGAGGTTAGGGCAGCTGGTCAGTCTATTGACCCTGGATTGTAGTTTACTGTGATTTATAACTTGTAAAACAATAATGTCTCTCCACACCAACTTGATGCTTTAAGTTTTACCTGATTTATTTAACATTAATATTAACAAGTAGGAAGCTAACAAAAACAATGAAGCCATATTTTGAACTTGTATATGGGGGTCAAATGGGATTTAGAGATTTCTAGACCTGGATCCACAGGCTTTCATAAAAATTAGCATGGTGATGAGAGTTATTAATAAGTTTTCATTTTGGGGCTACCATATGGGGATTAAAGAGGTTTTGGGACTCTCATGATTAGTTGCTGACAATTGACATAAACATGTTAGGGACTGTTTAAATTCATCTACTTTTAAATATTTAAAAAATGTTTTTACCAGAGGCCCTCTTTTAGGAGATCAAGGGGGTTTGAGAGCTCTCAGGATTGACTGACTGCATGGATGTACTTGAAAATTGAACATGTAGCCAGGATATTAATATTGTGGATATTTATTGAGGGGCCTTTGGGGGGGGGGGACTCTCAGGATTGACTGCATGGATGCACTTGAAAATTAAATATGTAAACAGTCATTCAAAACAAGGTGGGTATTGAGGAACTTTGTGTGTGTGTGTGTGTGTCGGGGGGGGGGGTTCTCAAGATTGACTGAATGGATTGAAAATTGAACATGTAAGTGGTCATTCAAAACGTTGTTTGCAAAGTTTTTGTTTTGTGTGAATTTTCATGAGTTGTTCTTGCTATGTTTATAAATAGAAAATAAAAATGTAAACCTGATGGAATTATCTACCTTTGTTTTCCTGATATTCATGAATTAATTTCTAAATTTTATTTTTTTATTCTAGTGTTCATGATTATTATTATTTTATGTGCATAATTTGAAATCAGAGTTTTAACATTTATAATGCCTCTGATTTCAGAATAATTTTGGGCTCTCTGTAAACGAATTACCAAATACCTCCTTCAAGGCACCCTCTGACCTAACGGCTCCACTCCTCAAACACAACTGGAAAGCAGATGGCATTGAAGTTCGTTACATTCTTAGCAGTATGTTAAATATAATAGAAGAATTACAAGTCAAAGTTTACCTTTTTTTAAATGTAGTAGTATCAGAATAAATAAGATAAACGTTTTAATATACAGGATGTCCAAAAAGTCTGGAACAGTGGGTGATTTGCAGAGATTCTTAGTTTCAGGTACGTGGCTGATTACGGTGCTTTCAAAGCATGAGAAGATCAATTTAATCCTGCTGTTAATCCAAGTTTGTTTCCATTTACAAGGACTGCAAAATTTGTTGAAGTGCCTATAGTTCCAGAGTTCTCAGACACCCTGTCTCATTAGTTCTTCATTGTTTTCCAGTTTAAAAGGTTTCACAGGATGTATTTGAGAAAATATAAAGTTTTATATTTAAAGTTAGCGAGTTAAATAAATGTTTTGTATTTTTAATTCCATTGAAATTTGTCAAAATGTATTCATTGACTTTGCCATTATAAAAGATTCAATAAATCTTCTCAGACATTTGACGTTTATTTTAGTAGTTCAGATGGAAGTAAATGAATGCTATAGGTGTTCTTTGTTTTATCTAATTGTCTAAAATCTTAATATAGAAATATTGTAGCTGTGATATGTATAGGTAAAGCATGCGCATATCTATAGTTTGAAGCTGAAGAAAGAAGAATGAATGGAGAAGTTCACGAGTCACCGTATTCCTTGAGGAGACTAGAATCGGCTTTGGCCGTGGGAGCCTCGTTGTGGTACAGTAATGGTCAGAAAAGGTCAAGAATAAAAGCAACCTCTCAGGCTGTAAACTCTAGAAAGGTCAGCTTTGAAGAATTTACTGACAGAAATGAAAATGATGAAATTTCCTCAGGTGAGTTTATTAAGAAGGGATAAGGTCAGGTGGGTTTATCAAGAAGGAAGTCGTGGAGCACACGTTGGCTACGAAGTTCTTTATTTTCTCGAACGATGAAATGAAGAGCAATTATTTCAAAACATTTTTTAATTGTTGGTTGTATGTTCCTGTATTAATTTTAATTGTGGAAAATAAACCTTTGTATTCAATAGATTGAATACTGTTTTACATGAAAATCTTCTTCCCAGACTACAAACTTTTGTGAAGTTTAAGAGAGACCATGCTGTAAAGGTAATAATGTGTTTATTATGAGTGTCATGGAATCACATTAAAAACTTAAATACATATTTTATTTTAACATCATCTTACTTTTAACAGGGTTTTTGATCTAAAGAGAATATGGGAACAAGTATAAGGTTTTTCTTCTAATCTTTTTCATGGCTGTCATAGTGTAGCTTTATTTGAAAACCCTTATTTTAACATTGTTAATTTCAGTATTTGATTATATAGTAATAAATGAAATAAGTTGGAGAATACCTTCAGGTACAAGACAATGACAGTCTGGTTATATCACAACTCTCTTTGCGAGTGTATAGTCCATTTAAACACATTTTTTAAATTTACAATTTCCATAAGAAAATAATGATAGCTACTGATGATAAGTTCTATACTTAATAAATTACTCTTGTCTTTGAGAAAGATAAAACTATCAGCATCACTTTCCGATCCTGCATACGGTTGGTTTGTAGTATGTTACTGTTTTGATCTTTATACGGTTGGTTTGTTGTATGTTACTGTTTTGATCTTTATACGGTTGATTTGTAGTATGTTACTGTTTTGATCTTTATACGGTTGGTTTGTAGTATGTTACTGTTTTGATCTTTATGCGGTTGGTTTGTAGTATGTTACTGTTTTGATTATTATACGGTTGGTTTGTAGTATGTTACTGTTTTGATCTTTATACGGTTGGTTTGTAGTATGTTACTGTTTTGATCTTTATGCGGTTGGTTTGTAGTATGTT